TGATTCCATTTTCTTTCTCTCCTCTTCTTCGTCTTGCCCTCAACCTACATACGTAATATATTATGTACATATATCTATATATCAATTGCAAAATTGGGGAAAATGGGTAGGGGGTGTCGAAATGACAACCTTGCCCTTGTAAGTCCCTTATGTGCAAGGCACGCATGGGCTTTCTATCCAAAAGCCGAACGGTTGTTAACTATTGGACCATATCGAGCCAAAAACCAAACTGCAGGAGCAAAATTGATGCATTTAAAATTGCAGGGATCAAAATGAAACCATGGGTAAACTATAGGGACCATATTTGTAATTTACCCTAATTGGATCTTCTCTAGTTGGGATATTTAATTGGACAATCCAATCCGATCCACTATGAGCCCATTGTGGATCCGTCTTGATGGTCAAAATCATTTATTTTGTTGAGTTGTATGAGGAGATTATGTATACCAATTAGGTTGATCGGATAATGGAAGTTACTCGATTGGATCACATTTGTTTGAAAAATAACTAATGGATTACTTTCAAAATTATTAAAGGATTTGGATCCTCACTAGTTGGGTTATGAAACTAGACTATAGGTCTATTTGGGGGTCGTCTCGATCACCAAAACCATTAATTTTGTAGAGCTTTCTGAGGAGATTATATATACCAATAAGGGCAATCGGACAACGGGAGCCACTCAATCGGATCACATTTGTTTCAACAAATGGATTACTTTCAAAATTATATAGTCCATTAATTATTTTTTAAATAAATATGATCTTATTAAGTGATTCTCGATATTCGATCGACCTGATAACGTTAAAAAATAAGCTCGTGATGGACCAGATTGAATCATCCGATTTAACATGAACATCCAAATCCAACCCTTAATAATGAAAAATTTAAAAAAAGGGGTTTTTTTTGTTAAGAATGAATTAAATGAAGGTAATTACTCCCATTATCATAGAAAGTAGACAAAGATATTAAATATATTGTATTATATTTTTTTTCTAATGTGACTACAATACCCATTTATGCATTCATCTTCATTTTATTTATTTTTTATTTTTTCTTATTCATTCACCTCCCACCCACCCCATGTATTTTCAAATTAATTAATCAAATAGATATTCAAATAATATTTATAATTTTAAAATATTTTATATTCATCTAAAAATTTATATTTTATTTACATTTTTCATTAAAATGATTCATAATATTATTCACTAAAAATGACTTGTTACATTTTTGTCGAATTTTTCATAACATAACTATTATAGTCTGTAACTTTTACTTTATTGATGAAAATCATACACGTTTTTTTCTTAAATTTTATCAAAATCATAAATTAAGGATGAATTATTTTGAAGAGAAATATATATATTGTCATTCTTTTATTCTCTGATATATAACGACAATGCTACGTAACTCAAATTTTGTGGCTCAAAAGTGGCTTAAATGACCAAAACGACGTCGTTTTGAGTACAGAACAACATAAAAATGGCCAAAACGACATCGTTTTGGCCATTTGAGCCACTTTTGAGCCACAAAATTTGAGCTACGAGACATTTTCCAAA